ACTGATGATCTTCGAAAGTTCACCGATCCTCTACTATCGTCCTTTCGCGAGGTGTGAAACGATAGAAAATGTCATTCTAAGCTTTTCTTAATTGGCGAAATCTTTAATAAATTTTCGAATTCTCCGTGTTGAAGAACATATTTGTATGTAATGTAAACATATGACTTATTATATAATAGTAAAAAACGTAGTTGTTTCTTCTCATTTACGCGTGTGTATCTACCACGTGCTCTTCCAAATCTTCTTCCTTTAAATTCGTCGTTTATTTCTCTTGTTTACCCAAACGTAAAGCCGTGGTAGAAGTAAGAAGATTCGGAGGACTGTAGCCAGGATCGAGGGATATTTTCAAAATTTAATCGCTGCCTTCCGCCAGAAGAAATAACGTGAAACGTACGGTGCAGTGGGTTTGATTTATAATGGAAAAGCAGTTTTATACGCGTGTCGAGAAATCTGAAACGAGCCGGTTTATTACGTGGCACTCAATTCTCCCTCTGCTTAATCAAACGCATTCCGCCGTGTCGTGAAATAAAACAGAACCACGCGGAGGCTCTTGCGGAACTTTGTTAATCTCGGCGAGCAAGCAGGCGCTTTAATTGTTCCGTGTGCAGGAACGCCAAAATTCGGACAGAAACTGAAAGATTCGATGTGATTTATAGACACATTACCAAATTTGTTTGCAGAGTTTCCAAAAACGTGAAGGAAGACTATTTTATTCGTAATAATATTACACAGACAGAGAAAAGACGTACGAGAGAGATAATTTTTAATGGACGAGAACGAGTATAGCAGAGGAATCACTTTGGCCGAGATATTGTCGCGATAAAGCCTGGCTCAACGTCTATTCTTTAATTATCACGGTTATCAGGCGTCGCCATCGGGCCAAGATCCGGCGGAAATCAAGAAGAACAGGGTACGAACTCCCATCTCTCTCTTTCGCTGTGGCACACGATGACGCTCTTCAGCTTCCCCCTTTCGGTACTTTAACCACCTACGTGCCGGCTCTCTGTGCCGCTGACACCCGCTAATTATAATTTGTGTCGTGAGTTCCGTGCAGCGCGAAGCTTTCCTGCTGCAAGCAGACGGGAAAAGGGGCTAAGATGTGCCTTGGCCTGCCTCTCGACTCCATTTCACCGAACAACATCACAGCGAACGCGAGCAGTTTTACTCTTTATCGCCGGCTGTTCTCGGCTCTGCTCGTCCCCTCGCGGATGAAAACCAACCCCCATGCAGGCGGCCTCTCTTTCCCTCTCCTCTATGTTCGTCGCACAGTGGTAATAGTTCTGATTCTAGGTAGACAGAACTATCGTGCGATAATTGAATTAAATTGTTAGTGGTTGAAATCACCCTTATTACAGAGATGTTCGTGCAAATTCGTGCGAATGTGACGAACAGTATCTTCTCGTTGGTTGAAGTTAAAATATAACGAGGATGGAAATTAATGGTTCAAGGTGTAGCACGTTGCACAGATTGCATACATTGAATCTCCTCGTTGTTTTACGTAAGCAATTACGATATGGTTGGATATTAATAAGTTTGAAAGATGTTTCAAATTAATTAATTAAATGAAAGACGAGGGAGTCAGACTAGAGTCACACGTTCTTTATTTTGTTTTGTTTCGTGTCGCGTCGTGTCGTCGTTAATATTTTAACTAAAAAAAAAAAGAAAAAAAAAGAAACACGTGGTTCGTTACTCGAATGACTGCATATTTTTTTCTCGAGTCTACATATTTATTATCCCTCGAGAGCAGACAATGTAAAACTAACTAAATTACTTAGATACTCGATGCTTTCATTGTGAATATGAAATATATTGTATTTATGATCCACGATTCATCGATTCATTATTATACGTGAAAATATATTGTTACGTTAAATATTATTTATTATTTACTATCATTATGCACGAAATGCGTCATTTTTAGTCTCGAATTTTCGCCGGGTTCTTTTTTGCATCTCCTGTTGGCGAGTAGCAACCGGCTCTAATCGCCGTAACGACAGCGGTTTACGCTAGGGAAAAAAGGCAAGAAATCCAGGCCGTTCGAACTTGGTCGGAACCGCTTATTCCTCTTTTTTCTTTCTCTTTTTTTTTTTCTTTTCCTCCGCAACCCTTGCCTCTCTCCTCGTTTCCGAGCCTTCTCCTCGTTCCTCCTTTTCCAACCTTCTGGACACTTCTTTCTCGTCTGCTTTCATTCCCGTTTCTCGAGGCAATTGATTTTGTTGCAAGATGTTACTCGGCGAGCGAACGTGATTGGAAAGCCAAGCGACGATATAGGCCAGAAGAAAGTTGTTGGAAGGACGTTAAGTAAAGACGTTGGATCAGCTACGGAATGCCATTTTTATAATAGATTGGAACGCCCGCGGAATCCTCCGCGGCGGTGTTTACTCTCTCGCGAGTAGCATTAATTTTTATTTAAGATTGCGTAAATTTTCTCTTGGTTTTTTTTTAGTATATTTCCTATGTAAATTGGACCGTTTTGTCCGTGCAAAGAAATAAATTTAATGAAGTTAAATCGAGTAAACGCCAATGCAGGATTTTGTTATTTCTTTCAATTTTATGTGTCTCATAAAAGAGCAGTGTTTCATACTATTCTGCCTTTCAAAAAAAATTCCAATGTAAATTGTATGCAACGAATCGCTCGAATGTTGTAAGAAAAAAATACCAATGTTCACCAACAGGATTTTGTATTCATCTCCATGAGATGGAAGTACATGCAAAATTCATGACAGACATAAAATAATAAAATATTCCATACATATGTGATAAAAAAACACAAAGAGAGAGAGAGAGAGAGAGAGAGAAACTGCAAGCTAAGTTGCAAGTTATTTGGCTCTGCAAAATTAATTTCGTTTTCAGACCTTTCGTGGGCCACGCTTGCCCAGCTCGATCGACTGATCCGTCACATTATACAAAGAGGTTATCCGAACGCTTTGTGCAACGAGGAAATTTCCCGCAGATAAAACGCCACGCACGCGTTTTCCTCTGTTTGTCTTTCTTTTCATTTTTTTTTTTTTTTTTGTTCTTTTGCTATCGCCCCTTTTTCAGAATCCGCTCACGCCACCGTGTGTTTGCAAGTTGCGCGCGTGCAAAGTCACGTAGATAAAAAGCCCGTGTCAGAGTATGTAAAAGAGAGAGAGAGAGAGAGAGAGAAAGAGAGAGAGAGGACTGGATTGAAGATAGAAAGGTGCACGATCAGTGGTCGTGCAATGAGGGGGTGGAAAAGCGGCGACAGACGCCGCGGCAAAATGCGGAAAATCTGCTTTGCAAATTTTCTCATACCCGAGCGTAGCTCGAGAGCCGGACGGTTTCAATGCCTCGATGAATTTACGGGCAGGGGGGAGGGATATATCGATTTTTATTCTCTCCTTTCCATCCTATAACTTTTTCTCTGCCGATATCGCGATGCTCGTTAATTATTTTGTCTACCGAATCGGTTCTCCATCCTCTGTGTGATCCTTTGATGCATCCGCGGAGGAATCCCTTTGAAACGTCTACGTACACGCTATTTGGTGAGAGTTTGGACACTCAGCTCGTCCGCATTCGCGTTTCGCTATTTGCGAAAGTGAATGACGCACGATATTGATCTATCAATGCTCGTTTATGAATTCACGATGTGCGCGATTGTAATATTTGTCCATTACAATTGCAATATTCGTCTCGTGTACGCACGATCGAATATTTAATTGCGAAATGGTATTATTCGATCCAATAGTGTTGTTAGCGAGATGTTCTTGAGAAATAAATCTCCCTGCACGATGGCAAACGAATTATACGATCGTGCGGCGAAATTAATTGGGTGTTAAAATTAGAAACGTAGCGAAGTGATGAAACGAGAACTACAAATCGAACAACAAAATTACAAATTGCATCCTGTAACCTTGTTGAAATCAAGTACAACAGCAGTAAATCAAGAATCATAATCACGTAGTAATATCGTGAAAAGGGAACGAAATAACATTAACAGAGAACATTCCAAAGAATGATAATATAGCAAAGTTAGGCTGAAATAATGGGAGAAATTAGAAACAACAGTGAAGGACAAAATAGTAAAATTGAAATGTCATCACATACAATGTGTGATAGTAAAATTAAACAAAATAGTAAAATGTCTGTACTTACATAACACGTCGTCTGTAATCCTTGTTTCTGTTCGAAAAACAGATGAACAAAATTCCCCCGAACCTGCTGCGAAATCGCCAACAAGACCAAGGACACTTTGTTTACTCGACGTGGTGTCTCTATTATGCGATACGCAGTTGGCGAAGCGAAACTGCACGCGTTTCAGTGGCCCAGGTGTAAACTCACGGGTGGAAGATTACGTGGCGTTAAATCGAATCAACGGATTATTTCGTTATAGTCGATACGCGGTAACAGTATGCTCGTTCCTCTGTTATCTACTGTGACGTCGTGTGTCATCGGTTAGAAAGGAGCCAAGGAGAACCGCATTTCTCACCGAGCTGGCTTTCGAAGGACGTGTAGCGTGGTCGAAGAAAGCCTCAAGTGAATCTTTAATCCCGCGGAGAGAGAGAGAGAGAGAGAGAGAGAAGTGTTATAACTTTATCTCGAGGTCTTCCCCGTGTCTTAGAGTATCGACGCGACGCAGCGTGAAACAACATTGGCGATTTGCATGAACGGCGTTAGGTTTAGGCGAATTTTACAATACAAGTGATTAAGATCCTTTCATACGGCGAACTGTGACAATTCGTTGCAATCTGTCGATTCACGCCGAGATCGTTTTTAGATATTTTTTTTTTATTTTAACGCATGCAGTATGAAATATTCCCACTTCGACGTTTGAATTTATAATCTACTTGATCGAGTGATTGTACGAGTCTTGTTTCGTTAATTAGTCATAACATGTGATTTGAATGATGATGCAATTACAATTGAACAATTCATTCGTGTAGATACACGGACGAAATTTGAAATTTACGACAGCGTGTAACATTTATGACATCCATATACGTGCGTGTCATTGTATTTTGTATGTTCCATTTCTTCAATTAGGCGTGTTCGCAAGAAGTACAAATCTCCACAGGAATCCGCAGTCTACTTATCATATTTAATTCGGAGAGGAACTTTGGCGAGTGTCGTTGCATTCGGGATTTCGCAAAGTTTGCCAAAAACGTCCCCCACTCGAGTCGTTACAGAATTTGGTAAAAGTACCGCAATCGCGAAACAAGGACTGCCTGCAGAGTTTGTTGAAACTTTCGCTACTGCAGGGTCTCTCATATTTGCCAGAAATTTGCCACGTCGTGAGAAAAAGTAAAGAAAAGAAAAGAAAAGAAAAAAAAATAAATAAAGAAAAACTTTCCTTGAATTAACGAAGACGATGCTTTGTTTCTGTTGCAGAAGGTGGATCCCGAGCTGATATTCACGAAACAAGAACGAATCGGAAAGGGTAGTTTCGGAGAGGTGTTCAAAGGCATCGACAATAGGACCCAGCAGGTTGTTGCCATCAAGATCATCGATCTCGAGGAGGCGGAGGATGAGATCGAGGACATACAACAGGAGATCATGGTGCTGTCGCAGTGTGACAGCCCGTATGTCACCAAGTATTATGGGTCCTATCTCAAGGTGAGTGAGTTTCGTATTTTCATCCCCTCTTGTCAGGGACTTGATGAAAAATTTTTCAATAGACCGTGGATATTCCAGAATGGAAGTGACACGCGTAGAATCATTAAATTCGAAAATTAGATAATTCTGTTAGAATTCGTTGAAGATCAAAGAAATTTAAATTAAATTAGAATTTGAAATTTTTCTATTTTTTGACATGTTTCGTTTTGGGTGATTTTATTGTAAATTCTATACTGCGTAAGTATGAGTTTGCTGGAGAGATGAGACAGAATAGATTAAAAAATATTCCGCGGTAGAATTCAAACATTCTATGTAGAATAAGATTCTGCGTTGAAAAATATTCTACTATAGAATTAATAGAATTGAAAAGCACTCCAGCATTTATTTATTGCAGTTGGTGTAAATATAAAAAATATCGCAGATTCGTATAAATTTCTGCAAAAATTACACCATGTCAATATTTAATAATCCACAGCCATGCTAACTGCTGCAATTTTTCAACAATATTTTAATTTCTCCACGAATAAATCTGTAGCCAATCAATATGCCTGTCAGTCTCTTGTTATTGCAAAAAAAAAAAAAAAAAAAAAAAAAACTAGCGAGTCACGGCTGTTTTACACGAATCACTTTGGTTAATCGGGCTGTCGACTGTCGACGCGTGTTCACCAGAGAAGAAACTACCTGGCGACCGGGTTCACGTGTGTGCCACGCGTAAAAAGAGCAACTGTAACCAATGAGTTGCGTATTACCCTGGACGAAAAATCCACCGTGGACCACGCCTTTCTGCCGCCGTTCCGATCCGATGAATTTCAACAAT